GGCCCAGGAGCGATCGCGGCGGGTGAAAAGCGAACCCGTGATCCAGGGGCGCCCCAGCCGGGAGCTTCCCTACCGAAAGCTCCACCCCGCTTAGGACCCAGATTCCGGCGGGGTATCCAAACTCTGGACCCCGGCTCCGAGCCTTGATACTGGACCGAATAAGCGTGTGCGTAATGGAGGGTTCCTGTTCTGTTCTCGGAAAACCGCCCACTAGGCATTTCCAAAAGCCTTAATCAAATAGGCGATGGCCGCTTCGACCAGACCAGTTGGGATTGTGCTTTAGAAATGCTTTCCTAATTCCCTGAGACACCACAGTAACTACTAATATTCCCTAATGGCTGAGGATCCTAAGAAACAGCCTCCTCAAACCTGCTAACGATAATGTAAAGATAAAGCATACTCAGGCAGACTACTTACAGTTAACTGCGGCATAATTTCTCAATCATTCTGCATACAGTAAAATGGCATGTTTACTGAATTCCCAAGGAAATTGTTTACTCCGAGTATCTGTTAACTAAAATATGTTAGGAAACGGTCATCTCTTCACTTACACGGTCTTCCAGTTGTCTAATTTTTTAATTATCTTAAAGCATCAGGAATGTGAAAGTTTCACTAAAATTACTGCCACAGGAGTGTGTAACATTGGATTTCATCTAGAGAAATCTACCTTAAGGCTCTGGTATCTAAGAATTAAACTCTTGGCTCTAAATGTTATTCCATGCTCTTACGGGGAGCCCAGAGTGCAGGCCCACCTTCAACTTGTCCCCCTCGGAGAAATGTTTGTCCTCTAGGCCAAACGTGGATAATTAGCCCAGGATTTGGATAGGCTGGTTTCTCTGTCTTCCTAATGCCTAAAAGCCAAATTCTCAGGACTGAATGCGTTTTGTTTGCTGGGAGTATCATCTGTGCAGATAACTTTATATTTGCATCACTAATAGACTTCTTTCAAAGGGAAAAGACATTTTGCTAGGACTGGAACAGTCTTTACAGTTTGCTCCATTTTGGTTGAACCAAGCTACTCCTTTTTGAAAAGGGACAGATACTCATGTAAGGACCTGATTTTCCACTTGGGTTATGCATAAATAGAAGGGCTTTTGCAATTAACTGCTCACAAGGAATAGAATACTTCATTCTTTGTGTGAGATACTTACAACCAAATGCAATGGATTCCCAACCTGTTTTTGGAGGGGGTGGGGTTGTTTTGTGGTACTGAAGACTGAATCCAAAGCCTTTGGACTGAGCTGGATCTCCAGCTCTTTCTTTGTTTCGATTTTGTGTTTTTGGGGCGGGGGCTCTAAATCACTAAATTGCCCAGGCTGCGCTCCAAATTGTGATCTTCCTGCCTCAGCCTCCCAGAGTGCTTGTAATTACAGACAGACTTACACCCATGCCACCATGCCTGGCTCCCCCCTGCGCTATAACATTCTGTAGTTCTTTAGATAGAACACTATTGATCATACTTTCTTTGAATCAGAGAAAAAACTTCTGTTTTCTATAATGAGAAGTTAGCTAATCTTTCAATTCAGGAATTGCTCCTGTAGTATCTTTCCTGGATTTGTTGCTTGTGTACCTTCAATAAAAGGCAGCTTACTGGGTTAGGGATGTAGCTCAGTGGTAGGCTACTTGCCTAGCTTGTGGGGCTCTAAATTTGATCCAGAGCACCACAGAAAGGGGAAGGGGGAGACTCACTGCTGTGCAAAGCAGTCTACCCCTTTGTGAGACAGTGCTAAATAATAGAGAGGAAATAATAGGTAGTATCTAACTAATATCACTAAGTGCTTACAAAATGCCAGAAACCAAACCAAGTGCTTTCTATGTACAGTATTATCTCATTTAATTCACATAATGGATGACATGAGTCACTGGCATTTTAAGGGGGCACAGGCAGATTAAGCTACTTAAATTCCTCCAGAAAGCTTAATGGAGGGGGGTACCAGGGATCAAACTCAGGACCTTGTGCTTGCAAGGCAGGCAGCAGCACCACTGAGCTAAATCCCTGGCCCCAGAAGGCTCAGTTTTGAATAGAGGCAGTACAACACCAAAGGCCAGACTCTTAGCTACTTACTCTATCCTCTGCTTATATACAATATGTTATTAAAATTTTCTCTTGACTTAAACCAAAATCTGCCTCCTTGAATATTTTTTAAATTTAAATAAGCCATGATTATTAGATCCCGAAGATACAGAATATAGAAAAGCCACAGTGTCTGAGCTCACAAAACAATTTGGAAAGCACAGAGGAGGAGCAAGATTTAGGAATGGTGCTAAAACAGCCTTGAACACTGGTGAAGTTCACCAGACAAACAGAGATGGAACTCCTGGAGGGTTCCTCAGCCCCAAACCCTTAAATCACCCACCCTGTGCAAGCATTACATAGTAGGGAACAAAAAGGCTAACATGGGAGGCAGCCTGTGATGGCCAGCGTATCCAAACCATCCTTCTGTTGGCACACCCTTCATGGGTCCCTGGCTTAGAAAATTCCTTGATTTCTTGCACCAGCCCCCAGTTTCACCCTCAGGACCTCTTGTCTGACAACCCACTGGGTCCACTCCTTTGACTTATTGAGTTCAGCTCTCCCTATTTAACACAACTCCTATCACCAGAGGTGAATTTCCAACACACCAGAGGATCCAGTTAAGGAATACCTATCAAGGCTTAGCTCCAAAGAGACCACAATCCAGCCATCCACAGGGGAGGATCAGACACAGAATATAGGAATGAATATGGCATGAAGAACAGGTAACTAAACTGTGTATATTAGATTGTAGGGAAAGCAGGAGAGTCATAGTGAAGCCAAAAAGTTAGATTGCTTTTTTTTTTTAATTTTTAAATTTTTATTTCTTTTTTCCAGCATTCTTAAAGTACAATTAACAAAAATTGAATTATTAACTTTGTACACTGTGATGTTTTGATAGACGTATAATACATGAAATTATTACAAGTCATCTGGTAAAATTTATTTTTAAAATTGAAACATTTTAAGTAATAAAGGGTTACACTTTTTTAAAAAATTTAGGAACTAGCTATGGAAGAGCCTTGGAATCAGTTGTGTTGTCACATGCTATAGCAGCAAAGCATTCCAGGAGGTTAATTGGCCTAGTCTCACACTCCTCTGAAGCAGGCTACCTGGGTTTAGATCTTGTCTCTGTCTTCTTCCTGAAGGACTTTAGGAAATTATTTCAAAGTAGGGCTGTTATAAGGAGTGAAAAAGAAAATACATGTAAAAGTAGCATATGGTACCACAGTAATCTCAGAAAGTATTGTTTTGGCTATACTTAAGAATGTTTTATATATTATTTTTGTTTAAGAATGTTAACCCTGCAGCAGTGGAGGGTTAGGTGTTAACCCTTAGCAATATGCAAGAAGAATTTGTGCTTTTCAGATCAGCTAAGACCGCCAAAGGGTTAAAGGGTGATAGCCTTGAAAATGGGTATGAAAATATAATTTACATCATATATCAAGGGCCCTGAAATTAAGGCTAGGAATGCTGAGGACAGCGAGGGAAGAACCCAGGAGATAATTGGAAGGTAGAATGGGCAGCTTTTTGGCTTAGGCCATTGCAAGGATGGTATTAGCTTTTGCCATAAGAGGGAGAGGGGAACTGTTGTTATCTGGGGGAGTGCTTTAGCACTGAAACAAAGTGTAACTGTGGTTTTTGTTTGTGTTTGTGTTTTGGTTGTGTTTTCTGTGGTACTGAAACTGGGCCTTTGCCCAGAGCTTCATTCCCAACGCTTTTTTATTTTGAGACAAAATATTTGTCATTAAGTTGCTAAAGCTGAGCTTGAACTTGGAATCCTTTCTGCCTCAGCCTCCCACAGTGCTGGGATTACAGGCGTGCAGCACTATGCCCAACAAT